CGGCTACTTTGCTTTTCTGATCTTCAGCTTAAAGACTGAACCCTAATATCAATCTCTAGGTCTTTTATTTGTCATGATATAAAGTAGCCCTAATAACACCCCAAACTTCTATCATTCATGTGAACTATGAGTGATGTAAAACTCCCCCTGGTACCTTAACATTCTAGAAAGTTCTATATTTGTTGATTTTCATCCCTCAAATTCAGATTAATTACAAAATTCTTCGCCAAGTCTAGAAATGGGAAACATGCTGAAGCTGGCACATTTGGTCCTGTAGGATGTTATTGAATATTTGTGAGTACAAAGCTTTAGTATGCAATGTATTTGGCTTCCCATATGTTAAGGCGTTAAGTTACTCATTAGAGAGGCTCTTAACTTTGCCCCGGTCTAGTATACTAAATTAGGGTTTCGTATTCTTCTACTCACAAGTTACCAGTGCAGCTTATGACTCTTTGAGGAATCCAGAGACAGAGACAAGGCATTGTTAGCATAGGGATCATGCACCTCATGTGGATTGCTGCACCCCTCAAGCTGTGATAGGTGCTCTGACCTCACAGTGAAGGTGTATAGAAGAGGATCCTGGAGCTTCCTTGATAGGAAAGAGAAGCAAACCTGCTTGTTGTTGGTAACAATAAGGGACAAAGATACCTCACCACTGAAGTTTGCTTGCTGCAAATGCAACCTAAAGAAACAGCTCAGGCAGAGGGCAATTGCATTTAGTGTAATTTAGATGATGGATGGTGTAGATGTTATTTGAAGCCATGTGACTGAATTAGATCACTAAGTGAGTGAAGCCAGAGAAGGATCTCATGATGAGACATTGAGTGTTATGTTGTCTATATTGGAAGACAGCAAAGCAGGGAATGAGGGACATGAATGAGGATAGCCAGCTGCAGAATCAGATCTCTCTTAGGTCTGGACAAGGGGGACTGAATGTTAATGATTTCACTGGGTTGCTGATGTCATAGACAGGAGTTATTTATTTATTTATTTTTTTGTGGAGAATGGGGCACCTATTTGCCTGGAGTCAGGGTCACAGGAAATAGAATGTCAATAATTCTTTCAAAAATTTAGATGAAAAGATGAATAGAAACAGGGATTGTAGCTGGAGAAAGTGTGATGTCAATGAACTTGCTCTTCCTCCATCCCTCCCTCTCTTTCTTTCCCTGCTTTCCTCTCTCCCCCACTTCCTTAATATCAGTGGTGATATAGAATGTTTGCAGTATGATGTGAATAAACACTTTAAAAATCATGATATCCTGTCTTAGGTACTTAACAAAGATTGGTTGCTGGGCAGTGGTGGCACATGCCTTTAATCCCAGCACTTGGGAGGCAGAGGCAGGCGGATCTCTGTGAGTTTCAGACCAGTCTGGTCTACAAGAGCTAGTTTCAGGACAGCCTCCAAAGCTACAGAGAAACCCTGTCTCAAACCCCCACCCCACAAAAAACAAAGAACAAAGATTGGCTTGCCTGTCCAGTGTTCCTATCCCTGTTCCATGCTGTGTTCCTCTGTAATTTTGCTTCCACTGGCTGGCAAGGCTTCTCCTGTGTCAGAGCTCTATAACATGAACATGCCATGTTCTTTGCTTTGGCCTTCCCTCACTCAGTTCTCTCATCTCTTCTTGCATAAACACTCTTGTCTTTTAATGCCACTTGTATATATTTGCTCTCTCTAGTTGGCCCACTGCCACTATAAACTGTCCCAGTACTTTGTTTCCACATCACAAAGCAGAAGTTCCTGCTTTCTATAACAACCATGTTCACTTGGCACCTTGCATTGGGTCTCTGAAGGCAGAGACTGCTCCAGCAAAGGTGTCCTGGCTTGGTTTTATCAGAGAGAAGGTCTGTGTCTTTCTGTATATTCCTCCAGACTCAACCCCTCCACAGAGGCACCCCTAAAATGACTGTACCATCTAGTCATGTCTAGACCACAAGGTTTTACTACAGAATTTTCTCTTCTTAGCTCAAGATGGGATTTCTAGTACTCAGTACTTGGCCTTGTAAGAAACAGGTATTCATAAAAAGTTTTGAATAGGGTGAGAGAGGGGAGCCTGAAGGTCTGAAACCAAGTGGAGGAATCTCAGAATCCTCAAAGTGTCAGTAATGTTGAAGCTGCCTTGTCAGCCAATGTAAAAGTCTCTTCCTCTTGTATACTGGGTTACTGCCTTGATTCAGTAACTTGAGGAACTTCTGACCCTTATTCCTGAGGAATGAGAATTGAGCTTTGTCTCATGTCTTTCACTCATCTTTGGGTTAGTCATCAGGCTTATCTCTCCTTTTAAGGAGTTTTATATAAAAACAAACCAACCAACCAACAAACAAATGAAAACCTCAGAGACTGAAGAACAGGCAGCAGGTGGACAATTTAATCTTACACTGCATTGGGGACACATTTCTTTCTTTGTTGTTCCCAGGAGAGCCTTTCTGAGCCACTGCTACCCAAACTACCTGCTTTCTCCCACATGTCCAGCACAAGAGGGGCCTGCTACTCTAAGTCTCATGGGAAGAAGTCTCAAGAGTTACTGGCTTGCTGTTTGTTTAGGTCACTGGAGAGGATGTGCATCTTTGTAATAACTAACCCACTTGTTTTTAATCAGACTGCTTATATTTTTCCTTCCAGTATCCACAATAAGAAGTACATCTGCTTATGGGGCCCCAGTGAAGTCCGAAATTACTGCAGACATCTGGTTCCTTCCTAAGAGGCCTCCTGGCACCTGGACTCCCAATAAATCAATGAATATGGAAATCAGATATCCCCTCCATGATGACCATAAAAAGGCACAGTTCATTCAGTCTCTGAGGATTTATGCCCTTTATGTGTGTGTGGGAAGCACTCCTGTAGACAGCTTCCAAATGGAAAACAAACGATTTGTTGGCTTCCACCAAGTAAGAGCAGACTTTTAATGGCATGCTTTTGTGGTGCAGACACTGCACAAAACAGCCTAGCAATATCACAAAGGACACAAGTGCTACTTAAACTCACAGACAATTAGTCCTCGAATTATGCTGATCAGGTACAAGTTGTTAACTTCAGTGTCTCATTTTCCCCTCAACTGGTATCTATTTAAGTAGAGAGTTGCATCTAGGGTTTTTGAAAATAAATGTTTCTAGCAAGGAAAATTTCATATACTATTTACCCATTTTACATCCTAAGTATAACTAAAACAGACTTTAAAACTGTGGGTTTGGGGGTTAGGGAGTTGTTTTTTGTTACAGTGTCAAATTAGATGGGTAATGTCTAAGCTTGAGTACTGACACGTGTGGAGAAATCACCAAGGGTGCACTGAGCTCCATTTGCTGTTATCTTTTCTATTCAATGAGTTTGTCTAAGCAAACTGGAATAAAATCTAGGTGAATCAGGTGCACATTCCTGAATCCTACATGGCCTGAGAAGACACTGCACTTCTTTCTTGTAATTATTCAGTAGAGCCATGTGCTATTCACCTAGCTGTACCATAAAACACTCACTTTTACTTCCTATTTTGAAGTGCTGTTTATACCCTTAAGAGCATTAAAAGCATAAACTTGAAGTAAAATGTGTAAAATTGTAGCATTAGGATGTTGTATCTGATGACCCAGAATTCTTGTACTTTATCTTTGGTTTCATTGTGCAGATTTCCTTTTCCTTTTCCTTTTCCTTTTCCTTTTCCTTTCCCTTTTTCTTTTTCTTTTTCTTTTTTCAGGAGAGAGCATGGACACAGTCCCCCCACTACCACAAATTATGCAGTTGAGTTTCCTGAATTTGGGGAAATCACAAGGATAAGTATACCCTAAGAGCAATATGTGGGCCTTGTCCTAGGAAAACTACCTACTTGAACATGGTGTCCCCCCTGCCAGGTAAGTTTTTTGTATATGTTTTTAATTCAGTGAGAACTACTATTCATTCCTTTCGTGGTGTTTCACCATCGGTAGAAATGCAACATTTTCTTCTGTTTCTGAAGATACTTACATTCTCTTTGTTGAAATTAAGACATGCATTTCCCTGATGGCTAAGGATGTTGAGCACTTTCTTAAGTGTCTATACCATCTTACTCCTGTCAGAATGGCTAAAATAAAAAACACCAAGGACAGTTTATGCTGGAGAGGATGTGGAGAAAGGGGAACACTCTTTCACTGCTGGTGGGAGTGCCAACTTGTACAGCCACTTTGGAAATCAGTATGGCCATTCCTCAGGAAAATGGGAATCAGTCTACCTCAAGATGCAGCAATTCCACTCTTAGACATATATCTCAATGAAGCACATCCATACAACAATGACATCTGTTCAACTATGTTCATAGCAGTATTATTTTAATAGCTAGAACCTAGAAGTAACCTAGATGCCCCTCAAGAAGAATGGATAGAGAAAATGTGATACATTTATACAATGGAGTACTACTCAGTAGAAAAAAACAACAACAATGGAATCTTGAAATTCGCAGGCAAATGGATGAAACTAGAAGAAACCATCCTGAACGAGGTAACCCAATCACAAAAAGAGAAACATGGTATGTACTCACTTATATATGGATTTTAGACATAGAACAAAG